ACTACTGAATGTTATAAATATGTTTATATCTTATTTATTTTACCTCTCACGGCATTGTTTCCCAATTCGACCTGGTAATGACTTTGCTATAACAGACCATTTTGTAGGTCCATATTTAGCTACCAGTTCCACAATTTTCTCATCCTCCTATTAGTAAAGAAAGCAATATGAGTTTGAAATTACGAACACAAGAAGTCATCACAATAAAACATCTTAATTGACAAGAAAAATTCAACAAAAGAGGGACGAAAACTAGCTGCCAACCTCTGGAGTCCATGGACCTTTAACAAGTTCTGGATTAAGAACCTTTTGCCATCTATGCAAGCACTGTACTTCAGACCTATCTGGAAAGAATTCAGCTGCATAAATCTGAACGTTAATATGGGTACATTTTTCAAGCATGATTTAAGAGTGTTAGAAAGTGTATCAAGATGGAATGACAATGTTTCTGACCATGGATGAATTCTTGAACTATATAATTAGAGATACAACAACAATATATTAAATTTCTGGAAAGAACTCCAATTAAATAAACCATACATTGTGAAACTTAAGAATGCTGAATGTTAAAGTTGTTCCAAACTGGGCAAATAGGAGGTGTGACTCCGACCTAACTGTAGTTGTAATCTTTATAAGTTTGTAGGTTCCATTCATGAATATTTGTATGGGTTATAACATAATTAAACAAGTTGACAAATGACTGAAACCAGATTTTGATAATTTCTAAGATGGCCTAGTCTATCACATTGATGACAAACTAAATCTTATTCCCAATAAATGTTGGCATCTGCATGAATCCACATTTGACAATCTGCTTTAATTAATCTATCACAGTACAGCATTTATTGAACTAAGAAACAAAACTAGACATAATTGTATCGAACAATTTGTTCATGACTTGCTTAAACACCTACTGTATAAAAAATGTCAAATATTGAAGAGTAGTACTACAAGATTGTAAAATCAATGCAAAATTGCAAATCTAATTCACATGCTAGAGGTTATTACCAACAGCGGATCCAGCACCTAACGAGCTCCAGTGGCCGCCTTGCTGGATATGCCGGTACTCAATTTTTTTTGCTGTTAATGTATTTATTTTTTTGGATATATTTCTGTGATTTCCTTTCATTCACAACAAGCTGCTATAGTTTACCTGGTTAGAGTACCAGACAAGTGAAAGG